TGGAGAACACCCTCTCAGATGGGGTGGAGGAAGCCTGCACACAGAGGTAGTTTTCAGCCAGTCCAGATAGCAAGGGCCGCGTATCTTGCTTGTTCCACCACCACAGTGTGGCGCTATCCCTGCAGGGGAATTGGAGGGCAATCTTTTACAGAGCTGGATTTCCTGATCTACCCTCTGGGCTAAAGAAAGACGGGGCTTTGATTCACAAAGTGACCGCAGCTCGTTGTCTTCCTCGTCGAATAGTTCTTCCAACTTGCGTAACTTGCGTAACTTACGTAAATTGCGTAACTTACGTAAAAAACGTGACGTAATACGTGCTCCCCAGAGCCGACGCTCTAGGCTGCGGGAATCGAAAAATGAATCGTTCAGCGAGCTGCCAAACGATGCCATGGAATCGGAAAATACGGAACCGGTTCTGAACAGGAACCGGTTTTCGATTCCCATCCCTAATAGGCAGTCTATGTTTATCCTCTTCTCACGCCTCTTGCAGGGTATTTCGGTTTTGTCCTCATCTCACCTTTCATAGGCAATCACTGTTGTCTTCCCCTGCTTTTTGCATACAGCCTTTCACAGGGATGATTTAGCTCCCTCCATGCCTCCACAGGTCTCTCCCGACCTTCGTGGTGAGATTACTAACTTTTGTCTTCCCCCATGTCCAACATTCTACTACTGTCTCCTTGTTAGCCCCAACCTCCACCTCAGCACCCTCTTTGTAGGGAACAATATTTCTGACCTACATCTTCCTGCTTACACAGATCAGCTGAATTCAACACTGATGTCTCCTGCCGGGGTCTGAGCACCAAAGACATCCATTTCTTCATGACCATAACATTTTATAATTGCTGCTTTTCTGCAAGAGAGTGTGCTCTATTATTTCGTTGCCATAAGTTATTGCAAGAAATATTTAAAGGAGGTTTATGTTCGCTTGTTGTCTCTTTTTTTTTTGCAAATATGAGATTGTCCCTTGTGTCTTTTTTGTCAGCTCAGAGTTTCCCTCAGTAATTATCCTGTAGGTGCCATTCTAGCTAACTTTTGTCTACAACTGAAAAAAGTGAGGTCTTTGGTTCTTGAAATATTTTTTGGAAACCTCCTGGATTAGTCGATAATGTTTTTGTGGTTTACACTTTTCTTCAATTTAAATAATATATTGATTCTAGAGTTTGGAATTACTAAGTCACAGCATTGTCTTTAAAGCACTGCCCAATTCCACAACACTGATATCCAATTCAAGACTACAGAAATTCCTATTGTTGTATAAGAGGTGTCAGGGTGGTGTTGATCTTTATCTTTGTGTAATAACACGCCTCATTGTCATAACATGACTCATTTTGTGGAAGCACACATGAGCAAATATCAGGCTGCAGATCTATGGATGGCATCTGTGAAGGAGGTGTGGTAAAGACTTAGGAAGGGGGAAGGCAGGCTATAAGAATACAGACTCCACGCAAACTGGATCAGAGCAAACGTTTTTCCTGTGAAGACATCGTGGGGGATCCTGAATGTGAGCATGTGAGTTTTTTTATTCTCAGATTCTCTTGGTTCTGCAAAGATTTTTTTTTATATAATAATGAGATAAATTATGTGCAATAGATAAATGATGAGAGGGATTTCTAGCTGTAAATTTTTATGATCTTGCTTGATTCCCGTAAGCAACATTCTGTGTTCTGGAGATAGAGCAGCTGGACACAGCTGGATACCAGACAAATTAGATATGCTCATCAGAGGTCAGAACATGTTTCATGCAGAGGCGGACAGCAGTGGGGAGCTTTTGAAAGTAGTTATTTGTTTTGATATTAAATAATCGAGGGAGGGAGTGAGAGACTTTGTTTGCATTTTTTTTAAATTTTGCTCTACTTTCTGATTTGTTAATGTTCTTTATGTTTGTCCAGCAAACAAGCAGAAACAGTGAGAACCGCAGCAACCATGAAACTCCACGTTCTTGTCATCCTTCTGTTTTTCACCTGCATGTACCTAAGTGTGGCACAAGGTGAGTGAGTGATATAGAGTTATTTAAGGCTAACTGCCTCCAAATTATGTAAACATTTTTTGGGGAATCAGCATAGAACATACATTTTACCAAAATGTAAACAGTAAATGTCTTGTTTTGTCATAAAGAGGCACAAAGAAATTGGAAATCTTGGTTTATTCAAATGTTGAATCTTAATGAGCTGATTTTGCAAATCACAAGAAGAAAAAAACACTTGCCTTTCTAAAATAGGTCATCAAATTTTTCAAAGGCTTTAACCGCTGCACACAAAGTATGTATCTGTCGGGACTCGTCAAGTATAGATCATTTGTTAGTGATGACAGATAGGTTAAATGCCGAAGGAAAAACTGTTTGGATTGAATGACTGATGTATTTGCTTTCCACAATAACTTTCTTATCGACAGATATGCAAGAAACCTCTTGTTTAATGTTTTCTTGCATTTCAGATAAAACATTAGGGCACTAAATTTATTTAAACTGGATGCAGACGTATTCAGGCATGCTATGCATGGCTTGTTGCTTTTTATCTGACATTGTCAAAACAGAGCAGTGAGCTTCACAGACATGAAAAATATATTTGTTTGATTAAGCAGTTATTTTAAAATGTAAAAAATCAAGTAATGCTGCTAAAATTGCTGCTAGGGTATAATTAGTGGTTCTATTTGTTGTAACACAGATTTCTCTTTTCCCTTTTTTCCTCCCTTGGTCAATTAATGGATTGAAAAGCTTTTCTGCACACACAGAACATGGGAAAATTATAAATATTGATGATTTTGTTTTCTAAATATTTATATAAACTAATCAGAATTAACACTTTTACAATACTTACTTATATTGTTTCTTAATCAAACACATTTTGTAAGTGCATGAGGGATCTGTGTGGAGGGACATTCTTGGATTATGTTGGCTCGGCGTCCCAATGTTTTAATTGGCTCTGCCCGTGGCAAAACAGGAAAGACGTTTATAGAGATTTTCAAAAGACTAATTTACCAACTGATGAAGAAAATTGGTAAAACCTTAAATACATTCAGAAATGCTTCTGAAGGTAACTGCTAAAGAGTGACCATATCTTAAACAAATGTCTTAACTTTTTGTATCTTTCTTGATTTCTCCTCTCTTTCAGGCTCTTATGATAACTGCTGCCTTGGCTATGTTACCGGGATTGGAAAACGGATGAAAAAGAACATTGAGAGCTACAGGATACAGGAAACAGATGGCGATTGCAACATCAGAGCAGTTGTGTGAGTATCAAAGTTATGTCCTGATCTTTATTGCCTCAGCAGCCTTTTGTGTAGTTGCATGGATGGAATTGGCAGCCTTTGGTTAAAAAAGCAATAAAATGTATAATGAGCATATGTATTAGTTCAGCTGTAGATCCAAGCAGTAAAATGCATGCAAGTAAAATTTGTGTAAAATGTTTTTAATATACGTAGGTTTTTGACAAAAAAGAAGCGCACTATCTGTGCCAATCCAAAGGACAGCTGGGTGAAGGACCAAACAGGCTTTCTGGATAGAAAAAACAGCAGAAGGGTAAGAAAAACAACATGTGTTGAAGTTAAATACTAAAAAAGCCTCACTGACGTTTTCAGCCATTCATCATTTTAAAACATGTGTCTTTGCAGGCTACTTAAAAGTGAGACGGAAGAGGATAGAGAAAAGGGGTCGTCTCACCTTCCTGTCAGGCTTCGTTCATCATCTTTACTCACATGGATTGTGTTTCAGTTGTTATTGTATCTCCTTTTACTGAGAGAGAATGTAAATCATGTAAGCAGTCTTTTATACCACAAACATACTGTATCCTGAAAACTATAGCAAGTATCAACATCTTTTATGAGCCATTGCTATGAGACTTTTCAGTTGTATAGCCTGCTAAGATTGAGCCACTCTTTGGCAGCTTTAAAATGTAAGTGTCTGTGACCAAAAAAAAAGAAACACCTTAGTAATAAGCTGATTTTTCTTTTTTATATATTCATGTATACAATAGACATACCTAATTTTGTATCTGCACTCTAAATGTACATTTATTTTTCCTACATCCAATAAAAATGACAAAATCCAAAAACTCTGGGTTGTTATAGTAGTTTTTGATTTAATTAGAAAATACACAATTAGAAAAACACACATCAAGTGGTTCAAATCAAGAAAGACCTAAGCTGATTCTGAGGCAATTGTTGATTCAAGTGAGAGAAAGTAAACTGAGCTTTCCTGGAATGAGCTCTTGTTTTGTGTTACTTGGCATAAGCACGATCCAATAAAACTGGGTCTATACACAAAGTCACTTTTCATGTTTTTTTTTTTTTTGTTTTTTTTTGTTTTTTATAACATTCTGAGACCGTTCAGTACAGTTAATTAAAGAATTACATCTATGCTTGCCATATTTGTTATTAAAACCTCAGGTTACTGCAGGAAGCAAAGCTCTCTGATTGAAAATCTTTCTAATATAGTTCATGGGGTGATAGCCATAGTAGTTACTAATAAAAAATAATAAGTGGTTCTTAATCATAATTGGAGCATCTGATGGTAAAACATTCAGCTGACATGTTAATTAATTATTATTCTATGTATTACTTATGATGTAACACAACCAAATTACTGCAGTGATTGAATGTATTATCATTTTTGATATATATTGATTTATTTGATGTGAGAACATTTCTTTAAACATCTGTAGTGTCTTTAAATTTTATATATATATATTTTGCCTTTTACACAACAAATATGTTAATGGCGTCTGTAGGAATAAACCATTATCGCCATTACCATATTCAAATTGTACAAAATGTTGTCATAAGGATTAATTATCTCCTTACAAGTGAAGAATCTTTATGAGAAATTAAAAGGAGTAATTGTTAGCCTTACAATGATAATTATTGAGATGATGTTGTGACCCTTTTTACAAGGAAAACCAAAGTTCACAGAATAATTATAAGAAAAAAACACAAAGACCTGATAGAACATAATCTGATATAATTTTTTTTAATAATCAGGTAAAAATCATAATGTATTTAACCTGGTTAAAATAAACACAAAAACAAGGAAGACACAGCAACAAACTGGCTGGTCCATTTCTTCGGTTCTAGAAACTAGTGCAATTGTAATGATGAAACTTTATGAAAAATGAATTAAATAATTATAATGTTATTAAAGATTATATCATTTGAAATTTTATTAAAAGTTGATTTATCTCAGGCGCCAAAAGATTTATTTGCTAATTTTGTCTTTTAATTCAAAATGGTTATTTAAGGAGAAAAGGGGGAGATCAGCATTTCAGAACTAGTTTTAAACAATAAGCTTCTTATATCCTGAAGAATAGAAACAGAAACAGAGCCTCACTGGTTATACAAGCTGTTTATTTTCTGTAAAAAAGAGCAGCTTGGTCGGCCACAGCTCTCAGCCTTGAGTGCCTAGTTTTACTGATCTCCTCTGGCCTGTTAACTTCGACTTGGAGCCAAACGATTGGTTCAAAGACGCATGAAGGACAAAAAAAAGGAATTTTCCCCTCCAACATTAAAAGGACTTACATAGTATTTATACAAACAAATATATTTATGGTAACTGAATGTGGGAGGATGATAGGTCAGGGTCACAGAACTCAGTATCTCTGGAGTTGCTTGGGAGAGAGTAAATAAGAAGACCTACTTAACCAGTTGGAAGAAAAAACTCTAATGAATGTGTAGCCGTGAAATGATGTGTAGACTGCACATAAGAAAAGAGGATTCTTTTTGTTTTGATTTGATTTTTTAACATATTCTTCGACTCAGAAAGACACTGGGACATCCAAAAGAAAGTTTATTAAATGGTCCAACAACTGCTTTAATTACTGTTTATATATCACCAGGAAATTCTATAATTTGACCGAAGGTAAAAATAAACGAGACATGTATATTAACAAATCATTAAAAATAGCAAGAGAAATGTGCATTTCAACTAATAAAAAAGTTTCACCCATGGGGGAAAGAATTTCAACGAACTGGTGTTTTTTTGGTCTTATTATTACAAAAGGCTTAAGAGAATGCGATATTTCGCAAGACGGGCAATTGCAGTTAAAAAGCTTTTTGCATGCTTGTGGAAAGTTGAACATGCTGTAAGCAGGGTGGAGAGGTGGATGTTGAACAGACTGATGGCGGGCATGAGAAGGCAGAGGATGACTGAGAATAGTGGAGACAGACAGAGACAGTCTAGATCGGAACCGGAAAGAACCTCATTCAGGCAAGAAGATAATCTGGAGAAGAATGACTGAGAGGCGAGTATTAACAGGCAGAGTAACAGCTGGGAGGAATGAGGGCGATTTGAAGAGACAGGTGCATCTGCTCCACTCTGAGTGGAACCAGGCAGAAAGGGATAAGCAGCCAGCTCAAACACCACCCAACAGAAGCAGGCTGCAATGACACATAAAGCAATCTATCGGTCCTCAGTAGTGAGATGTCTGTCTTCATCTACAAAGTATCTCAATGAGATTAAAGTCATAGGGACGTTATATTTAAATGTCAAATCATTCTGGCTTAAAAATGTGTATAAATGTACTCTTTATCAGACCATATTGTCGCAAAAGTTAGAAAAGTTCTATTTTTAAAAAAACACTGTCCTAAAATCTGTGTGTGTTTTTTTTTTTTTTGTTATCTTATGCAGGCCAATTAGTTATACGTCAGCTTGTACACCTAAATTTGGCCAATCATATATCAACGGTCATCTGTCAATCAAATTTTTTCGGTCATAGCATCTTGATTCATATGTCGCTGCTAAAATATGCAATGGTTGAAAAAAGAAATAAGAATCAATTTACTTTACCATTGAGTTACGTCCCAGTGTTCACGGGGATGGACGTCTATGTCTTGGGCAGGCGTAGAGCTAACAGAACAGGCAGCGTTGTGAGGGAGCTTCTCAAACGTACGGCTGTAAGCCTTCTAGTACACCAAACAAAGCTTCTGCCGCCCTGGCGTCCTCTTCCACAACAACTCGTCCACGCTTTCTTCCTCTGAATAAAAAATGTCGGAGACTCATCTATGACCTCAGACACAAAACTCTCCTTCTCTTGCATGTTTCCACTGTCCATAGCGTTCCTTATCAGTGTTTTTTTTTGTAAGTCACCAATTTAGTTCTACTTGGTCCCAATGTAATTTCCCATTGGGAACCTACTAGCACTAAGTTGCTAACTGGTTAGCAAGATGCTTCTGAGACACCAGCCACAACCAAACTCGCTTGCAAACTTTCCGCCACAACAATCCCGGCCTCTTGATAATCAACCAATCACATTCACTTAATATACTCGTGTAAAGTCAGGCACCACTTGGGAGAATTCAGAACTGCAACCGTTGGAACTGCCGCTTTGCTTCCCTGCGATTTTAAGATCCATACTTTGAACCAATCAAGTGCTTTGCATTTCTTAATTTTTAGGCAATCCTTGGCAGACATGTTTTGAATCATTTGTATATTTAGGGTCCGATACTCCTGCTGCTTTTTTTGTATATTTTCCACATTTTCATTGACAACCCTCGGATACATGGTGTAATTAATGGAGGACTCTATAATGTGAGCTTCTCAGGTGCTGCTGCAGTAAAGCACCCCTAAATCATAACACCTTCACCTTTTTATATCTGAATTAAGAGAACCCTGCCAAGATCAGCTGACTATAAAGCACAACAATTTGCACAATAAAATTTTTAGCGGTCATTTAGTACTAATATCATATGTTTTATATTTTAAAAGGTATTCTGCACTGGTGTGTTTTGAAGCATATCATGTTTTATTAATTTAAAAACCTACATTCCAATTTCAAGACTTGATCCTTTGCCACAGCTCAAATATTATTATGATTCATATTGACAATCTTTGTTAATTCGCCCTTTGTCTGGTAAAAATCAGACCTTCTTTCACTTGTTGAGTCAGATCTTTTGTAATATTCTGAGGGATTAGCTGTTCCCTTAAGGATGGAGACATTTCTCCTGCTGCTTGATCTAAGTAAACTGTATAAATTCCATCTAGCATAGCTTAAAAAAACTCAAGTGTCACAAAAACAGATTTCATGAGCTTTAAAATTTTGGATAGCTTCTTATTCCAATAGAAAATTATGTATTTTTAAAGAAAATGGACTTTTCTTTTGAGCTTTAAGACAAAAAAGTTTGCATTTGAATCAACTGCTATATTCACTGTTAGAAAACAACTTTTATATAGAGCTTGTTTTGTTTCATTGGGTTAAATCAGCCTTTCACAATTACAAACCTCACAATAGAACAAACATTTCAGATAAGCCTTTGGCTCATCAGGAGCTCTGAGACACAATGTTGGTTTCTTGAATTTTCTTTTATTTTTTTAATTTTTTAAATCTTTTTAATGCTGACCTTGGAGGAAACTGCAAAACCTTCAGTACACTTCATCCCTAAATAAGATTTCACTCATTTAGCACATCCTTACAAACATGTTGTGAAATGCCTTCAGACGTCATTCCTGTCTTGGTCTACGGGCAGATTTGCAAAGTCTAAACAGCAAAGTTGTTTCAGGTGTGGTGCATGAATTACCATTTAATTAAATAAAAAAAAAAGGCAAAAGTAAATGGACAGTGTGCGCCTTTGAAGCTTTGCCCACATTGCACATCAAAAGTGAATCCCACATCACAATTTCATTTCGGTGCAAAGTTTTTTAACTGACATCTCTTTTGTGTTAAAACACTTATCTGACATCAGCTTTTTAACCTTGGTCATTGTCATGGTATCCTGATTCTACAAAAATGCTGAACACTGTGTGTTTGTTTTGTCTACTTGAATCTATTCGGCTAATTCCTCACTAACATTTTTTTTTTACCTGCAGAAGATGCAACTACTTTGTATGTTTATTTTAGGTTAGTTTGTATTTACTAAGTTACGTTCATCTTAGTTAAATAAGTCTCCATTTATTTCAGATTAACTTTATCTGTGGTTAGTCTACCTTAAAAGTGTAATAGAATGATTATATAGGGTATTTGATGCTGGACCTTAAGGTCTCTGAATAGTGTGTGTAACATTGGTTGGGATGAAAATGGCATATTTACTGTTCTTTGTATAGAAAGGAGTTGTCGTTGGGGTTTGAACTTCTCTGTACGAACATTTCAACCACTAATCTATCGTTATTCATCTATGACGATGTAAACTCGGTTTTGCATTTTTTGACGCTTTTAAGTCTCGATGAGTTTAAGCCATTTTCTGTCCTCAGCCATCTGCATGTTTTTGTCAATTTATTATGGATTAACATACAATTCTTTACTTTTAATCACCTTGAGTATTTTTAGTTTAGTTTAGCAGAGCTTAATCTAACTTTCTTATTTTTGCCTGATTTATTTTAAATCACATTACTTAGTTTAGTGTAGTTTGGTTAGTTTTATTTAAAGGGATAGTTCGGTATTTTTGACATGAATCTGTATGGCATCCCCATCACCAGTGGCATGCAATCACACTGACTTACCCCTGGCAGCGTCCTGTGAGCAGAGTTATCGTCCAGTTTTGGTCAAGCCGAAAGTAGTCCGGCAGGTTTTTAGGAACAGCGAAATAAAACTTTTCTCTTCCCAAAACATTATGTGTTCAGCTGGGCGGAGGGAGACATGGCTGTTGTTGAGCTCGCTGTCTGAATGACGGCGCGCACTGATACGAACAGAGAGAAAATAGGACCAATTGATAACGACGTGTGACTTTTTCCACTACAATGTTTTTGGGATGCAAAAATATCACTCTTTTGAACACATAATGTTTTGGGAAGAGAAAAGTTTTATTTCGCTGTTCCTAAAAACCTGCCGGACTACTTTCGGCTTGACCAAAACTGGACGATAACTCTGCTCACAGGACGCTGCCAGGGGTAAGTCAGTGTGATTGCATGCCACTGGTGATGGGGATGCCATACAGATTCATGTCAAAAATACCGAACTATCCCTTTAAGTCCAAACACGTAACTCAAAATTAAGTGTTTATGTTTAATATGCACACAGGTATTATGTATATTTTGTATTTTTTCTTTAGAATAACCATATCTAGCCATGTAGTAAACCCCTTGCTATATAGGATCAAGAGATTTAGTGGCTAACACTTTTACTCACCCAAGATTCTGGTTTCTTCATTAAGTGTTTAAAGCTAAATCTGTAAATGGCGTGAAAGGCAGTGCAAACATAATGTGCAGCAAACAACAAAAAAGTTTAGAGGGTTTTAATTTACTTGGATCTGTCAGGGAGAACATACAGCAGATAAGATGTTAACTCTGACTATCATTTTATACTACCTCTTCTCCCAATAAAACATCGGGTTCATATGGGGCTACATATTTTTGTGATAAGGTAATGATGAAAAGACAAGCAAGCAAATGCAAGTCAAAACAGCTTTTGATAAAAAGGAGAAGGGTGAGACCATAAACGAAAGACCTTCCCAGAGTTTATTATAATTTAAAATAAGTTAGCAGAACTGACTTTGTGGCTCAGTACATCAGTGCAAAACATCAAAATCCAGGTAATGATACCAGCTCAATGAGAAGCAGCTTTGGTCTCAGACATTGCACGTGTTACTTTACTCACGTAGAGTTTGTCACTGTAGCTTATTAAAGAACTTGTCAAGTGAAAAGAAAAAGCATTTGTAAGAGGAATGCTTCCTAGTTGTCAGACTTGACAGCTTTGTGGTTTTATAATGTTTAGCTAAGTGTAGCATTTTTTTATTTTTCAAACTCCCTAATATTGAACAGATCATTTTAAATAATTTGGTTGTCAAGACATGAATGACCTAATCTTAGAGGATTTGGCAAGTTGAGCTATCTGTTTGTTTCCTACACAGTCTTCTTTCCTCATGGATTCTTATTCCAAGCAACTTGTCTTTATAGAGCAAAGTGAACGTTATTTCACAATCACATCGGCCCTGTTTTCCAAGCATATTAATCAGTCATGAGAAATGTAAGGCTGATCTTCTTCTGCCAAAAAGCAATTACTCCCAAAAACAAGCTTTCCCTCTCAGTTCACATTCTAGCTTGACTTGATAATCCTAAAAGCGAAAGGACAAACAGGGCAAAGAGTTTTGGAAATATGTCAAATATACAAGCGGAGGCATAAAGATGAGCTTTAGCTTTCAGCTTCTGATTTTCAGTTATAGATGAGTCGAGAGCATTAAAGATGTCTATTTTAATTTAGATTATATACAAACATATAAATATATATAGATACATACATACATAGACGGACAGACAGACAGACAGATAAACACGCACAGACAATCCAGCAATTTTTTTTTCCATTAAAGCTTATCTATATCTTTAAGTTGGCTTTTCACTGATATCACACCATATAAAAACATCCTGGCTAAGACTGGCTTAGCAGACACTACTGAAGATTTCTTTTTCTCAAGTGGAAACACATTGAGCAAGAACAGGTTTTCCTAAATAAACAGCTATTCAAAAACATCTTGGCACTTAAATGGACTTTGATACCATCTCAGTATTGGCTCCAACCATTGAGATGTTTACATAATTCATGTGTTAACAGGCAGAAAGCTGGAGGCATTGCGAAACCCTAAGTCACTATAACTGGCATTTTGACAGAACAGGTGCCTGCAGACTGTTAGGACTGGCAGTAAACTGTGAGCCGACAATCATAGAAAAGTGTCATGCTTGGGTTAGACCCCTGAAGGCCAATCTGAAAATGTGCAAGTGAAGTGAAGAAATGCTATGGGAGAACATTAGTTTTAGAGGTTTAGAGATTGAATCTGACAGAAACAAAATAAAGATTTTACAGATGCTTTGCATGTTTAAATGCAGAGTTTTTTTTTACCGTAAGTACATGAAGTAAATTCAAAATCTGTTTCTGAAACACGTGCAAAAACATGAGGCTTTATTTCTCCTTCAGGCCTCTAAGCAAAAACCGAATCATTCGACACTAATGCAAACAGCTTGCAAAAGATAAAGAAACTGTTGTGACGAATAGATCTTACTTTTCTCATTATTATAATCATGTGGACCCAAATGGCACTGAATTTAATGCAGTTTTCTAAAAGCTTTCATCCCCATATTGGCTTAGATCAAAAAAGCAAACAGAAGAGTGTTTATCAGACACTCGTATTGTATGTGTCCCAGATGTGTCCGACAGTATGTGAAAGGCTCTGCATTTACAGCCATTTAGATTAAACATGCACATTTTCTAAGCTTTAGAATCAGCTCTTGTAGAGTGCTCTTTTGAATTTCAACTAAAATGGATATGCAATCTTAGCTTATATATACATACCCCCAGTCCTTATTTCATTAGGAAAAAATTATTTGCATCACCCTCATCAGGATTACCAGTAGCCAGGCATTACTGCGGGGGGTTATACTCTGACTAAGAGGGATTGCAAGGTGCTGATAGGCATTTAGAGATAAGGGTCTGCGTCAGAAAGCCTGCTGTAATCAGAACAGAGAGCTACAGCTTATTGCTTAGATGACCTCATCCTCCATGGTCCATTTTGATTTGCGTCTGATACGACACTGAAGCAAAATCTGAACGGAGTGAGGCAGCAGAAATATTGTGTTCGATTTTTTGACTCAATACTGTGTTTCCTATCAAAAGTGTTATAATACCAGCCTCTCCAGGTGGCTATTTGAAATCTTTTATACAATTCTCAGTAAACAAACTTTGATTTGCAATTATTCACCTCAGTGTGGACAAGGCCAGAATGAGAGTCAATTAGTCGGTCCACTGATATGAGTTTATTAAAATATCACACAGACAGCAGAGGGAACATGTTTGCCAAAAGATGTTTCTGACCACTTGTTAGGACTACCATACTCATCAGGATGATGCGCTGAATATCCAACAGCCTCCACTAGTCTCCTCTTCTGAGCCCGATGGAGGAGGATCCTGTAGGTCCCTGTCAGCGGGCTCCTACAGTCTAAACATGGGTTGTTCTCCAGATGAATCTTTGAAACACCTAAAGCGGACAGGAAATTCTTCACCTCTTGCTCCTCTATACTCAGAGTCTGATTGGCTTGGGTAAAGTGGGCAGGAGACATTGGTAATAACTCATATGGGCGAGGATACTCTATCCCCTTGAGCCATGTGCTGTTTGTAATCTGGGTGATGGAGGAGCGGTCAGCAGGCACAATCCGCAGCATACCCTTAATGACGAGCTGACAGGGATCGGGCACAAACGAAGGGATGCTGTAAGACCCCTGCAGGATGCATCGCTTCAGCCTCCCAAGGTTTTCTCCGTAAAAAGGTAAAGTCGCCGTCACCATGAAGTACAAGAGAATACCTAAAGCCCAAATGTCAGAATAGCGTCCGATGTAACCTTTTTGCCTGAAAAGTTCAGGTGCAGCATAAGGTGGAGAGCCACAGAAACTGGTGAGAAGCTCATTAGGGCCACATCCTGTGCTGAAACCAAAATCCCCAACCCTGATGCAATAACTGGTGGTGTAGAAGATGTTCTCAGCTTTAAGGTCTCTGTGCACAATGCTGTTGTCATGCTAAGAGGAAGAAAAAAAAACATTTTTCAGTACAAAGAAGTAAATCTCACTCATCTCGTTTAATAAAAGACAGAATGCTTCAAACCAGATGGGTATGTGTGAGCCTAGAAAGCAAACATTTAACAACAACATATCTCACAACAGACTGTTTCAATCAGTTTGACTGTATTATCTGGTTGAATTGTCTCTGTAAAGTGCCTTGAGATGACATATGTTGTGAATTGGTGAAATATGATTAAATTGAATTAAAGTGAATTGAATAGTACTGTAAAATAATTTAAAGTTTTTCACTTTGCTACGCTACTTTGAGAAAACAACTAAAACAGTTCAACTACAATTGCATTAATGGGCACGGTATCCAACTTTTTAAACAGAAGCACACGATAAAGAAAAGTGGCTTAAAATTGGAATTGTAGGATGGAAAGTTGTGGCTTTCTAACAAACGTATCGTCAACTGTAAAAGCCTGCAGCGAAATATTTTTATCTACACTTCAATTCCATATCTCCCACATCACACAATAATCTTCTTTGGTGACAGCATTCTACAGTGTTTGAAATAAAAACTGAAAAACACCGAAAAATAAAACCGCTTTTCAGTGTCTAACCCAATTAAAATGTGAAACGTTTTATCTTACACTCAACGACAACACCGGCATTTATGATTCAGAGCATGATCTAAGCTAATTTTTACATTTTTATTTTGGTAAAATGAGAGGTTTTTGTCCCTTTCAGCAGCCTCTGATAAATGTGCTAACAAATTAATTTTTTATTTATTTTATTTTATTTTTTAATATTTTTTTTCTTGGCTGTTTTGGGTCAGTTTGCCTAAAGTCACTTATAATTGTCCATATTTACCTTGTTAAAATCCATTGAATGTGCTCTTGGTTCATAAAATTAGGATGCAGGTTTTGTTTTGCTTTTTTGCTTGTTTTTTTTAATTACACAGTTTAGACTCTTCTGAGACATGTAGTGGCAAATTTCTAGAATTGAACTAAATCTAGACTTCCTTACACATTCCTCTTACAATTGATGTTTATTTACTGTATTTAGGGTCTACTAGAGAAGCAAGCTGCTGTTTTGTACCAATTAGTACTAAACTTGTTCCTAACAGAGGAATGTTTTCAAGTATGAAGCCAATGAATTGAGTCTGCCAGCAGGTCACTTAGAGCTTTTTTTTTTTTCTTGCTTTGTTCATAGTCTGTCTTATATAATCAGAACTAAACTCTCCAAACAGGGTCAGAACCAAACACACACGAGTCAACGTTGACAATGTTTTGTAAAATTGACCATTCAACTGTCTAATAACAAACTTAAATCTGTTTAGTGATGTTGATTATCCTGCTTAATTTTTAGATTAAAACTTATTTGAAATTATAGTGTATCTCATAGTTTTGTAAAATCTTATCTCATTCTTATCAGTGTAAAATATATTAAAAATCAAGAGTATCCATTGCATACTTTACTGAAAGGAATAATAATAGAATGAAAAAAAAAAATCTTTTTTTTTTTTTTTTATAACAATTTTAACACTACTGCATGTATTTATTGCCAATAAATACCTCAATTTGCTTTATAACATTAGCAATCATCCTTAAATATTTAACTACTTAGGTAAAAAAATAAGAAACATATAAATGGTGAAATTTATTGTTTTTCAGCGTCTTTTTTATAATACATAATTCAGAGATCTGTCTTAATTTGTATTGAGGCCTGGCAGGTTCTAATCCCAGAAACCTTAGATAACCTAATAAGCCGTCCCTTAATCCTGACATGGCTCTTGCTGTGTCACCTCTCAGTCAACCAAACGGTGTCCTAAATAGTTTTGTACACCAGATTTTTGCCTCCCATTTCTAAGGCCAGTGGATAAGGAAAACTCTGCAATGACGGACAAAACCTCAAGGGAAGCTGTTTTTATTTGACATCAGTCTTGGATGTTTAGCGGTTCCTCTTTTCAGAATTTAAAGTGTTATTTACTTGGATTACAGGCGATTACTGGTATGATAACAATAAATACAGTTGTTGAATACAGTGGATTTTGTCCCAGACAGTGGTGCATATTGGTAAGCAATAAACATCCCTGAACTCATAGTAGAAATTACGGTATTAAAAGTAAAGTAAATAAAAGCACTTAATTTTGCTACTGAATCACAAACTAAGAGATATATTTATTTCAAACATATTAAATTTTATTTCTTATGGGGAAAGTTCCAACCAGTAGACAGTAGAAGCTAAGGGGTCCAGTCATGCCGTAACATGTACTAACTCTGAGGATCAGGTATCGTTGCAAATAAGAACAACTAAATTTGCCCATGTTGTTAAACTCTGGTTGCAGCAACATTATGATAAATGTTGTCTGCTGCTGGTAGAATACAAATGTTTAAGTGGGCCAAACATCATTCACAAAGCAAAAAATTATTTTTGCATGTCACTTCTATGCCAGAAAATGTGGTGTTTGTTTCATCTTGCTATATTTTCCTGTAGGCAATCATGTCACTTTGACTTCGACATGGAGTTCCAGGCTAAATAAATCAAAACTGCTCCAATTAAATCCAGGTCTCTCAGAGCAAGTTTAAACGATTCTTCAAAATTCCTTAATCCTTTTTTATGGTTTTGCTGAAGAATATTTATGGAGTGTTTAAGCAAAACTATTGGATTACATTTGACTAAAGTATTAATCTTGGCAGACTGCTTGTAATAATATAGTATGACTGCAGCTCGCAAATTTCTTTGGCATTTTAAGCTACTCCTGCCCCCATATATTTCTTTCTTGTGATTAAAACAATAACTGTATTCTGTTACCTGAGGGAAAATGATAAAAAAAAATACTACAAATATTAAGTCTTTAGAATAATTCAAACTATTTTCACATAATTCAGTTAATGAATAAGAGAGAGCCCCAGCAACCCTTGGCCCATTTGGCACAGTGTCCTGTTGGGTAGTAAATTATTAATAGTGACAGTAAAGGCTCACCATGTGTTTAACAGCAGAGATTATCTGAGCAAAAACCAGCTTTGCTTCCAGGTCGTTAAGCTTCCCCCTGGTGGTGATTCTGGAGAAAAGATCCCCACCACTGCCATACTCCATAACCAGATACAGCCTTCTGGTGGTCTCGATCACCTCGTAAAGGCGGACTATATTGGGGTGGCTCAGTTTCTCCATGCAGCTGATCTCAGAGGAGGCTAAAGGTTGGCTCCTCTTATCCTGACGCAACTTGTCAACAATTTTTACGGCAACTCTTTCTGCAACAAGAGATGGAAAGACGAGACTTTCAGTGATAAATTCAACAATATGATGTAGTGAAATGTTCCAATGAGAACAAAGAGAGTTTATAATAAATATAAGCGAATTTTAGCTTCATCCATATGAAAACAGTAAATCCTCCGACGGTCATTTCTGATATGACAAAACAGGAGATATGACAAAAGCAGTTTTCATTTAAATGCATTTAATCCAAAAATAAGAAACACTGATAAAAACAATATTATGGACTTCATGTTTTCATCAAATTGCCAAAGAATAACTTTGAAAATGCTGAGGTATTGGTTTCCCAATAGTATAAAAGAAAAAAAAAGATTCAATGTGAACAAGGAAAAACTCTCTTTAAGGAATACTTACTGAAAAAAAAATGATTAAGTCAGCTAAATACATTTTTTATTTTACCTTTAGTTAATGCGTGGATGCCTAGCTTCACTGTAGAAAAGTTTCCTTGGCCAACCTCTCCGCGTAGCTCGTAAAATCCAATCCGTCGACCGAGCATCAGGTCGCTTACTATCCTCTCATTGTGGGCCATGTCGTAGATGACCCTTTCGATAGGAGTCTGCCTGACCCTTTCCGCCTCAGTGACCTGTGGAATGGCCCTGGTGGCAGCAGAGGGCAGAGGAAATGCTGACCTTTCCTCCTTCGTTGAGTCATCTTTTTTGCTTGTTTTTGGCTTTGGCCATAACCGTGTTTTGATTACTTGAAAAACAAACGAAAAGGAGTGGGGGATGAGAAGAAAGCACAGAGACTTAAATTACTGTTATTGCCATTTTCTATAAACCTAAAAGTTTACTAAGTCTAAAAGTGTGATTCCTTGCAAGAATAACCTTTTGCTTCAATAGCAGGTGCAAGACTATTGTTATGAACAAACCAGCTGAAAATTTTGACAGATTTTTGTTGCGAAAGCTAGCTAATACTAAGATAGATTAAAACAAGGCATTTTGATCATAAAATTTTACCTTTACTGCAGATTCCTCACCGGTTTTAAGTCAAATAAAGTCAGATAAAATAAGTTTGCCTGGCACTACCAAGAGTTTTCCCGGATTTTCTATTAATCTTAACATCAAATTTGACCCGCTTCCCTGCATCTACAGGAACAAGGCATCTCCACAGCATGATGCCTCCATCACCGTATTTCAGAGTAGGGACTCTGTGTTCATGGTGAGGTGCAGTGCTAGTTTTCCGCCACATGTAGCAATCTGCACATAGGAGAATATGCTTAACTTAGCGCTTCATCTGGTCAGAGCACTTTTCTTTGCGTCCTCTATCAGTTTAGATGGATTGCCATGTCTGAGTAGGTTTTTAGTAGGCCTAGATTCTTTCTTTCCTGAATGATTTTGGTATTTCACTGCCTTCTACAGTATTACCTTATTTAAATACATAAGAAATCAGAAGGCCCCTGCAGCCCATGGTGGCTCCTGAGGAAGGGAGTGCAGTCTTTTCATGCAGGTGTGCTGGAGCAGAGATGCATCTAAAACACCTGGGACAGTGGACTGGTTTTAATAATGCTTGAGGTAGAGTTTTATGACCTAACTTCTTTTAAAATTTCAAAGGTATCATTTCATCACTTGATTGCTTTATTCAATTTTCTCAACCTTTGAGGTAGAATAATAAAGAGCTACTTTGTGTTAACCTGCAGGATATAAAAAAAATCATTAAGGTTATAGCTGCAGTGTGACACGGGGGAAAATGTGGTAAAATATTCACAAATAAATTGGAAAACGATTAGTTTTAAAGCAGCACTTGCTTTTATTAGAGACCAATATTTGCTGTTTTGCTATAAGACTGTTTGACTCTGCTGGTAAAGCTGTACGGAGACAACCAGTAAAGCTGTTCCATAGCTGGAACATTGGTAATGGGATTAACCTCTGTGTCATCTTACTTTGTCCTGTGTGACATAAAACGTCTGCTGTCTTTTATAACACCCTCAATAAAGACTTTACTAGAGTTTCATTTCTGGATAGAATTTATACACTACATGTACAGCTTAAAGGGTAGTAAATTCAAGCACTTTAATCTGATATAATTCATTACAATGATCTTTGTTTTTCTGTCCAAAGAACTGAATCATAATAATGAACCCGTACTGACAGAGAGCTGATTTCTTAAAATCTTTGGCCAAAGCTTTGGTTTTCGTTTCCACATTTAAGACAAAGTTGCACAACGTTCCTTTTTTATGGGAAACGAGATTCAACAGCTTTTGTGTTATGTAAGGAGCTGGTAGAACAGGGTCAGGAGTTTTGTTCACTGTCAGCACATCTATCGTTCACATGCAGCAAAGATAAAGAACACAGCTGTTGAACCTAAAAAAAGACTCATTCACTAAATATTTAATGTGAGCTTCCTGCTACTGTTTCCATATTGCTTTTGCTCCTGGTCACTTCTGGCTAAACTAAGTTGATGCCTGGAAAACTTCCCAGTATAGTGGGATTAATGCCTCTCTTAAACTGTACTTATAGGTTACTTTTAGAAGTTGGAAGTTATTTTTAGAAATCTTTGTAGCACAATCGGTTTTTAAAAACCTTCCAAATTTGGGCCGGTGTCAGCGCATAGAATTTCTCTGAACAAAAGTCAAGCCCTTTTCAGTGTAACGTTACCAAAACAACAATATTAGTTGCTCTTTTTTGTTTAGATGTATTTCTCATTTTTTACATGTTGACAATTTAAGACACAATAAAATGACATTGCTTACTTAATCTAGATATATAAATAAAAAAACTTGAATTTCAAAGATTTTTTTCTGTATAAAACTACACAAGAACAGTGCAGTATAAATTCCACTGTATGAAAAGAATGAGGCTGCTATAAATGCTAAACAATGTTTATAATCAACCACATATGTATTTATAAATGTAAAATAATATTTAAATGAAGTTAACCTAACGCAAAATGGCATGAAGTGTTTGTTTTATTTAAATGACACATAAAATAACGGGATGATTTAAACATCTTATTTCATGATCTGTCACCTGTTAGTTAATCAATACATATGAAATGAAATATATAGATTAATAAAAATCAAAAAACAACTGAAAATCTCACCTGGGAGTTGTGGGTCCTTCATGTCTTTCCGAGAGGCTTTACCACCTGACTGAGACCAAACATGTGAATAGAGCTTCCAGAGACTAATTCACTCCCCTCAATCCTATTAATACGATGTACCAGTGGACGGCTCATTATCTCCTCTGGCACAAACTGACCTCATAAAAGTGCTGAAAACATACTTCTAGAGTTTAGAGCACCCACATGCCCACGTGCATGCAGATTATTGTGTTTCCGTTAATAGCGTGATGTTTGAAATTAGAATGTAAATTAACACATTGTGCAATTAAGACTGCCAGATTAAACTTGATTCAGTGCTAATGAATAAATAAAAACTTGGATATGCTCAAAACATATTAGATTGCTACATACATATTTCCCCTATGAGAAAATCAAATATTATAAATTAAAAAACTTTATTTCATTAAAATTAAGATCTTGCACAATAGTTGGCCTTCTATAAAAACAAATGATTTGCATCTTACAATACAAGTCAAAGGTTTTTGTACAGACATTATTATTGACTTTTTTGCCATAATTTTCAAGGCTAGGAACTTCTTCAAGAAAAAAACATTTCAGGTAACTACCTCATGAAGCTCGTTGACAGAATGCAAAGAATGTGGAAAGTAGGGTTGGGAAATTTTATCGATTTTGCGTTGTAAATCGATATATTGTTTTCAAGAAAGCTTCGATTTTTAAGCTGCACGTATCGAAACATAAGTGCCCTTCACATCCTCTGTGTTTACCCCCGTTCGATTTGCAGGAAGAGCGATTTGGTTAGCTGGCCGCTAGTGTTACTGAAGAGCTACTGTCTCATGTGGATACTTTTTTTTTTACATGTATACGACATCTAACTTTACAGTCTGAGCAAGAAAATGGCAGAAAATATAAATCCAGCACCTTCAAATTTAAAAGCCGATGTTTGGGGGAGTTTTGGTCTTAAAAGACATAAGAGAGGCGAGAACCTAGACAACAGCTTTGCAGGGTGCAAGCTGTGTGACACAAATATAAAATATTCGGGAAACACCACCAACCCACCTAAAACGCCATCACCCAGGCATGGTCATATTAACGGAAGACCCAAAGAACCTGTGACGTGACCCAACAAAAACTATGCTGGACATCAATGGTGGTTGTTTCCACGTTTTGCTATCTGCTTCACCAAGGTCATAGAAAATTGTGTTTCCCTGGCACTAGCGTTTCCTCAGAGAGGGTCTTTTCCACCGCTGAAGATATCATCACTGCTCAGAGAAGTGCACTTCTCCCAGAGCGTGTTGATCAGATTCTATTCTTGGACAAAATGTAGAAAATTTGGTCTGCAGTTTTGTGAAGAGGAGAGTTTCTGTTTAGTGTATGTTTAAGGCCTTTATATTATTTGTTTATATTTTCTCTGCTATAATGGGTACAATTTTAAGTTTGCTTAAATGTTGCTCCGTGGACTTGAATTACTAGCTGCCATGATTTATTTTTCTTTTCTGATGGCTGGACTAGCTTCCCCACATACTTAGGGCCCACGGGCCCTAAACTACTCTGCTAAGGTGGGTGCATTTAAAGTTACATGTTCTTCTTAATGTCTTAAATTATTGGATGTTTTGAAGCCATAGTACTGTCTGCTTAATTGGTAGCTAGTGTGGCTACCTCACATGTTCAGTGCTGTCAAGCTAAAAAAAAAAAAAAAGAAAAGCTTTTGCTGTACATTTTTCTTGTTACATTAATTGTAATAGTGCACTTTTTTACTCCAAAGGCTTGTAAGCTACAGTTTGAACTGTTTTATTAAATGAAACAAATGTTCGTTATATTTCTGTGGTTCATTTTATCCAGCATTTGCAAGCTTTAGGCTCTCTGTCCAGTTAGAAATATACTATGTAATTGGTGTTTTCAGTTTTTGGTTACTTAATTCAATCCAAGTCAATTAATACCCATAAGATGTCACTTAAACTACTCCGTCAGAAATTATTTAAGTGTATCGGATTATATGGAACTATAATGGAACTGAATCATATTGTTGTCTGAATATCATTATATATATCATACTGTGAGCTGAATATCATGTACTGTATTGTGGGATTAGTGTATTGCTACAGCCCTAGTGCAAAGCAGTATTCAAAACAAAGAGGGGCCAAAATATCTAAATGTGCTTATAGCTCACTGAAACCGTGACCAATGATAGCACTTAACTGTCTCCTGTAATTAATACATATTTTGACAAAAAAGATTATTATTTTGTTGAAATCCTTCTGCATCTGATAACAGTCCTCAGCTCTAATCTTGTGACATTGAAGACAAGGTTTGTCTTTCCTCTGGGTTTTTTCTACATTCCTAAAGTAAAGCATAATGAATCAGGAACTTTATGCAGCCCACAGTTGTGTCACCTCCTCCAACCATGTCAACTAGAATAGCTATCTCACCTGGAGTGTGACTATGCCCATAACACATTTCTCCTCTGCTACTGTTTTTTTTTTTTTTTTTACCCTTTTGCAACTTTACTTGGTTATTAACCTCCCCTATTTTCCTATGCAAAACACATGTCTCTGTGCATCGCCCCCTTTTGTTCCTGCAAACATATCTGGTCCATAACTATCTCTGCTTCAGCTGAACATAACAGTCAGATCTCAATCTTAAATACTAATACATTATAGACTATTGTAAAACACAGAACGTATAAAACAACATAGAAAACTGGGACACCAAACAAAATAAAAATAGCCAATATTTTTTGGCAACTTGAAAGGAATTGGAAATCTGCGTTTAAATTTTTAGTGCCGTTGGCTAAAGTGCATTTTCATTCTGAGCATGTCTTTCTTGTCTTATTGCTGACACTGAATTATGTTGTTATACCCTTGATCACTATTAATTCACTGGATTGCTGATAGGCCGTTGGTAGTGCACGTTGCTGTGAAGTCATCAGCCGCCATATTGGTACTCCTTAGTTCGACCAGTTGGAATGTAAACAATACATGTGCTACAGCATCGAATAACGAGGATGTTCTCATTTTCAGGGGGGCTTAAGACTTTTAAAAGTCTATCTAAATGAATCATGTATTATAAGATATTACACAAATCCATCACAACAAAATAGGTGTTTTAATGGAGCATAATAATACTGTAGTCAGATATTAAAAATATTTCAAATTTACACACACATTATCTGATGATGTGCCAAAAGTGCTAAATTAAGGATGTACACATAATATGCATGCACTGATTACATTGTTAACATGTTATATGCATATATACTTATTCCCTACTGCTGGATAGCTTTAGTTGACATTGTAGCGTCCTCCAGTGGACAAATCGTGAAGGGACTTCAATAAGTGATCCTCAGGCAGTTTTACTCTAAACTCTGCAGGTCAACACAATAAATGTAAATGTAACAACAACGTTACAAACAAAATGAAATTAAAGTGGCATTATAAATTAACTAGACCTTATTCGTGACATTCCTACAGCATCCTTCTCAGTATCCTGGGTGGCGGTAAGGTGCTTTGATAGACATTCCACTCAGACCAATAGCTTTCGTGCTGATTCACACCTGACCAACCAGCAGTTAGCATCTGTTGGCGGCGCGTGATTCGACTGACCAATAAGCAGAGGGAATTCATGGAATAACCGGAAGCACATGCTGGCGCGCTGCTAGAGATGTTTGTGTTGTGACATCTTAGAGCTGAGTGGTTTTTAACTAATTGAACGCTGTGATTGTCATCATAGAATGGCGGCTACCGTAGAAACATCTCTGCCGGCAGAGATAGACTCTGCGCGGTGTGGGACCGAGGAGGAGGAGAACCGCGGCCTTGAAATGGAGGAGAAGAGCCAGCAGCAGACAGGCTCAACCGGGCCCACCGTGCCCCACAGCCGCCTGTCCAAACTTCCGCTGGCCCGCATCAAAGCTCTGATGAAGACAGACCCAGACGTGTCCCTCGCCAGCCAGGAGTCCGTGTTCATCATTGCTAAAGCCACGGTAGGAAGGGAGAGCTGATAGATTATAGATGCTCTCTGAAAGTGTGCAAATAGTCAAAAATAATCAGAGCTTTAATTTCTACGTGGTATTCGGGTGTAGAAACATACAACTTTTTTCTTTATTTTACAAGTGCATCATAATGAAATAAAAAAAACGACCAAAACTGAAAGTTATTTACTAGTTATATAAATTTGAAACAGGAAATTGAAATATAGATAACTTACACTCTGATATATGTGAAGTATTCCATAATATTTTATAACACAAGGCTAATAGAAATAAATTCGAATACAAATTATATTTTAAAGCCTTAACAATAATTGGTAAGACTATTGACAGGAATATTCGGGGTCCTTTATTAATGTCTGGATGCCAAACAAGCTGGTTGTTCATCAAATGCTCTAATGGAAGGAAAGACATCCATCTGCAAAGTTTACCTGAAATACTTTGTATTAATCTATATAAACTCATGCCATCTATTTCTTTTTCTGTGCCTGCATCATGTTTACATTGAATTGCTTATAGGAATCAGTACAAAAGTGGAAGTTTAAGCTGAACTGTTTATAAGCAATATGGATATTTGAAGAAACCTATTATAAAATATATAAATGGCAAATTTCTGTGTTCATTTATTTTTTTTTTAATCCTCCAGGAGCTGTTTGTTGAGATGATTGCCAAAGATGCTCTTGTGTATGCCCAGCAAGGAAAGAGGAAAACCTTACAAAGAAAAGACTTGGGTAAGTGTTGGGTCTATGATATCAATGGTCTCTGACAATGCAAATTGATAGTGTGCAGATCTAGATTAATTGTAGGTTGATTTGTGTTTTTTGTAGTTTTATGTGAGCTGCAGACATTTCTGTTTTATACATAAACAGGGTTTCCGCGGGTCATTAAAAATCATTAAAAGTCATAAAATTATTATTTTTTAAATTAAGGCCTTAATAAGCATTAAAATTAATTAAATTTCATAATCGTGGCATTAAAATGCTA